TCTATCTATCTATCTATCTATCTATCTATCTATCTATCTATCTGTCTGTCTGTCTGTCTGTCTGTCTGTCTGTCTGTCTGTCTGTCTGTCTGTCTGTCTGTCTGTCTGTCTGTCTGTCTGTCTGTCTGTCTGTCTGTCTGTCTGTCTGTCTGTCTGTCACGTACTTTGAACAAGCTGCTCAGCGACATTTAATTTAGATCATTTTTCACATTAATGCATTTTATTCAGTAAAAATGGAAAGTTTTCAGGCCTTGTCACATTTTCCTTCTTTACTGCAGTACAATGTATAGAAAATACACAACACATACACATTAAAAATGATTATTCATTAGAAAACTGCTGGGAATTTGCTAAAGAGCTTTGCCTCCTTTGATCAGATGAAAGAAAGAATGAACTTTGTGACCACAGTTGCAGCGGTTATGAAGAAAAATAGAGGCTGAGCATCACCTCATTCGAACCCTCGCTTTGATGCAACATGGTGGTTGTAGCATTATCCTGTGGAGAGGTTTTTCTACAAACCATTCAGAATAGGAGGAATGAAGAAGCTAAAGAATATATAGAGCAGCTGCGAGTGAAAACCCTTCCTCTAAAAGCTCTTTTTTTACTAGAATGATGTGAAAGTTGACTTTTTAACAAACTGAAAGTAAAAGAAAACACGAGTGTTCTTCAGAAAACTCAAAACTTCTTTCATTCACCTCTTTTAAGATGAGCCTGAGTCGGCTTACCCACACGTCAGTTGTCATGTGTGAAACAAAATGATGGGCTGCTGTTACAGCTTTGGTCCATTACAGAAGCTGTTGCAAGGTTGTGTTATAATGTGGGTGTGAAGTGGTGGGGAGGCCAGCAGAGCTCTGTTCTAACCAACACTAATGTTGTCACCTGCTGGTTCTGCGATGGTGGCTTCGTATGGACATGTACATATATGTACATGACTCGCTTGACTGGTTTGTGTGTGCATAAACAAAGGCAACCTCAAGAGGGGCTTGCCTATGTTGTAATAGTGTACAATCATAGATTGAAAGAGGTTTCTGAGAAAGTCCTGAAGAGACTCAGCCAAAATTTGGACCTGTATCCAGAAGAGCACCCTATTACCTAAGCTGAGCTTTATTGTCTCTGCTAAGCTGAACTGGTAAATGGTAAATGGACTGTACTTATATATTGCCTTCCTATCTTATGAAGATACTCAAAGTACTTTACAACACAATCTGTGCCCTCATTTACCCACTCATACAGCACTCTAATATATCTACAAAGAATAATCAGTTCTTTATCACATTCATACACTGATGGGACAGAGGCAATGAGGGGTTCCGTGTCTTGCCCAGGGACACTTCAGCATGTGACTACTGGTGGAATCAAACCCCCAACTCTTGCATTGGAGGACGACTGCTCTAACCACTCATCCACAGCCGCCCCTAAAGGTGCAAATTGTGCCTAAAATGCTTTTACCAAGCAAACAAAAGGAGTTATGTAAAATACTAATATTTAAAAAAGACAAAAAAAAAATCAGTTTCAAACATGGAAATCTTTAACGAACTAAAACATTTCCGATGTATGGTGATTAAAATAAATTTAAAATTGGAAGGGATGACATTCAAACTGCAGCTGCTGATTATCTTCTGTCACTTGCCCCAGTTTGGAGGGCGTCACACTCATTAATATTAATTTCTTTATTTACACTCCATTATTGGGAAGGTAAACCTTGCTTTAAAAGCAGAGGGGGGGGGACACAGAAGTTAAACACACTCTCCACAGGAGCTCGTTGTAACCATTATGAACATCATTATTGTTTTAATGACTTGAAGATTCTAAATATTACACAAAGATTCCCTGCGTGCATCTTCGTTTTGTATTTGACATTGTGCTTTTATTACCTAAAAAGTGTTTTCCATCTTCATACTGCAGATCCTCACCCAGGAGGACTGGAACGCTGTGCTGTATAATGGGATGGCCTCCACCACGCCTCTGGCAGCTCTCTATTTTGTGGCCCTCATGACGTTTGGAAACTACGTCCTCTTCAACCTGCTCGTAGCCATTTTAGTTGAGGGCTTTCAGGCTGAAGTAAGAGCAAACATGCAGTTTTATTTGAGCTACTCTGCAGAGAAATAGAGAATAATTGTGCTCAGTTGTGCTGTTGATACCAAAGCTCCTTACAAGAGAATAATCTCCACCATCCTGCCTGTGTGATTTCTCCTCTCTGTCTCTTTATCCGTTGTTATTTCTTCTCTCATCTATTCCTTTTCAGCACTTCCCTCCCCTCTTTTCCTCTATCGTTATTTCTCGCTGACATGCATGTACGCTTATAATACTCTCCGGGACAGGAGAGGTGTTTGATATCGCTTGCCATTCGCAGCTGGTGAGATTTTGTTGTTTAGTTGCCATGTTTTATCTCCAGCATCAGAGAACGCCTGCTCTCTGTCGCACGCACACATCTATAGATACCCTTTGCCAAAGCCGTCTGCCTCAATCTTTCTGGCGTGAATTTTAATTAAATTCAGTAAAGCTTTATTGGCGTGACTACAGGAGATCACTGCCAAAGCAATGCACATAACTCAACCAGAGAACACAGGAGATTCCCTCCGCCCGTCTGTCTCCCACTCTTTGTTTCTTAATCGTTCCCCTCCGACTTCCTCGTGTTTTCCACATTTCAAACAGTCAACAGTTTACGTGCGGAAGAAAAACGAGTAAATATTGCGATGGTGGGGGGATCACGTTGGGTCCTCCTGGTGTGTCTATATGTTTCAGGGTGACGCCAACAGATCTGAAGCCGATGACGACAGACAATCGCTGTGCCTCCAGGACGAGGAGAAGCTGCGAGAACTTTACACTGCTGGTACAACACGGGTTTTAAATTTGGAATTTTATTTTGTAGGGTTGTTTTCTTAAACTTTTGATCAACGTTTGGAAATATTTATCACCCACCGCTGAAGACGATGATGTTTATGCCCATCTGTGGGAGAGTGTCTGTTAGCAAAATGTTTCATAAACATAGATTTGAATGATATCTGCAGAAAGTAATTATTGGATTGGATTGGACAGCTACAAATAACTGTTTTAGCGTCAACCCCATTCAAGATATCCACCATAGCAAAGTGACCTTTGCAAACGCATACATGGCAATAACTCTGTCAACTTTACAAAGATTGAGCTGCAATTTAGAGTGGTAGTAGCTGAGAGTCATCCCCTACACTAGTGGCAAACTGTGCCTGGAAGAGCTAGGCCTTTAGTTAGAATGAAACATTATGACATTTGATTAATACTGATGCCAAATACCCCCACAGTCATCTGATTACATCACTTGATTTTCATTTTCAGCAATGCCATTATTAGTTGACAAGTAGGACTTCTCCTCTTTTTATTAATCGACCACAACATTGGTCATATGGTGTCAATTTTAAACAGTCACTAACAACAACCTGAACATAAATGCCAACCCACCACTGAACAGAAAAACAAGCAACAACAACCCATCTGAGCACTAAACCTGAAAAAGTCCAATAATTTACTGTTGTTGTAAAATTTCATCATGTGATGAAACAAAACGCAACTTTAATATTGAAAATGATCAATGTAAAATGAACAGTTTATCTCTACTACGTTCTTTGCCGACTCCTCCTTCAAGACCATCCATCCATCCATCCATTTTCTTCCGCTTATCCGGGGTCGGGTCGCGGGGGTAGCAGCCTAAGTAGGGAGGCCCAGACTTCCCTCTCCCCAGCCACTTGGGCCAGCTCTTCCGGGGGAATCCCGAGGCGTTCCCAGGCCAGCCGAGAAACGTAGACCCTCCAGCGTGTCCTGGGTCTTCCCCTGGGCCTCCTTCCGGTGGGACGTGTCCGGAACACCTCACCAGGGAGGCGTCCAGAAGGCATCCTAAACAGATGCCCAAGCCACCTCAACTGGCTCCTCTCGATGTGGAGAAGCAGCGGCTCTACTCCGAGTCCCTCCCGGATGATCGAGCTTCTCACCCTGTCTCTAAGGGAGAGCCCAGACACCCTGCGGAGAAAACTCATTTCGGCCGCTTGTATCCGAGATCTCATTCTTTCGGTCCTTCAAGACCACTCCTACTCAATTTATCTTTCTGTCCACACCAGGGTAAAACGGTTTAAATCCTGCTCCAATGCTGTGAGCCTTGCTGCCCTTCCACTTGGTCTCTTGGACACACAAAACCTCTACCTTCCTTCTCTGCATCATGTCAGCCAGCTCTCTACCTTTGCCTGTCATTGTCCCCACATTTAGAGTTGCAACCCTCAGTCCTACATTCTTGACTTTCCTCTTCTCTCTCTGTTTCCTGACACGTTTCCCTCCTCGTAGTTATTGACTAACAGTAACACAATTTACACCAGCACCCTGTTTGTCAACAGCACCGGTGGCGGTCGGTGTTAACCCGGACCTCGACCAATCCAGAATGGTGTCACTTAGATGAACTTGCATATTAGTTTTGGCAAACGTGTTTTACGTCAGATGGCCTTCCTGACAAAATCCTCACCGTTTACCCGAGCTTGGGACTGGCACAAGAAATTCACTTGCTTGTGCTCCCTTGTGGCTGGTTTTCCATGTTAGGTGAAATGTTCATTCATACAGTATAACCGTAGATAAATAAGTAGCTACAGTCTTGTGCATTTTATCATTTGCAGATGCAAAGTCTCAAAAATGTTATCTGAAAATATTCTGATTGCTCTTTTTATCAGAGAAGTTTAAAATAATGTTTCTGATAGTTTTATATGACAAGTTTTGTCTGGCATAAGATGCCATTTTCTTTCATAAAAAAAATCACTTTTTAGTTTCTGTATTTATCATTATAAAGTATAATCATTGGTTATTCAAATGTTAAAAACAAAAATCCCATTAAATTTTTATTGGTTAAAAAAAATAAGGAAATAAAAGAAAAAAACTTGCAAAATGTAGTGTAGATGTTAATATATAATAAATTGTTCTTGTTTTGTAATTTTGCAGAGCTCAAGATCCAGGCCATGATGCTCACCCCCAACGGTCTTCTGAACCCAAAAGCCTCCATGCCTCCCCCGCCTCCTCCACCTCTGCCACTCATCACGCACACGGCAGCCACACCCATCATAAACTCTAGCCAGTCTCGGCGGGCGAGTGGTGCTTCCACCGACATCAACAGCCTGGAGCAGAGAACACCGGTGAGCCCTGGGCACATAAATATTGTATTTGTATTATTAGAAAATCAACTAACAGCGACATCCAGGCTAAGCTCTGCAACAAGAGGAATTGGATCAGTTTCTAAATCCTACAAAACATTTACAGCAATAATAGATTTTTCCAGTAAAGAAAAAAAAAAAATCAGCAAATTTAGTTCAGAAAGAGTTGTAGAAATGTATTGTTAAAAAAAAAAAAAATCCTTAAAGCCCTCACACTTTTTTTAAAAATTCTCAAACCTAAACAAGTTACTGTGCCTAATGTGTTTATGTCTTCATAAAACATTTGCAAAAGCTAATATTTTTGGAATGAGCAATATTTGGATAAGTCGTTTTCTTATCCTTGAAGCCTTCTACTCCAACTGCCAATTGTTGATTAGTTGTTTGTGTTTAGTGAGCCATGGTACAGATTTGAAGAAAAATCCTATTTTATTTTATGCAACTGTGGGTTTGCTCTGTGAATTACCACCCTGTCATGGTGGAGGAGTGTGTATGCCTGATGATCCTAGGAGCCATGCTGTTATGGGCAATTGCCCCTGGTAAGAGCTCTCAAAGCAGATTGGCCAGACAAAGAGCGATACAGAATATTTACATAGACATAATACTTGGGTAGATTTTTTTGTTTTTTTACATTTGAAGAAATTAATTGGAAACAAGTTTGGTTAAATTAGGGGAAAAAATTGCATAACAAATAAAGTTAAAGAGGTTTCACATACAATTAATCATAATGTATACCCTGTTCAAAAAACACTGAAAAGATTTAAACTTGATATTGACTATTCTTGTACATTCTATGAACTACACATGGAAACAATCATTTATTCTATTAATGTAATCATACAAAGGCATTCTGGACAGATGTACAACAACTCATACGACAGAAAACTGGACAAATAATTCAACTTACAGAGAAAGACATTATGCTTTGATGATAAGGATATGGATAAAGACTTGATGCACTTCACCCAACTTCTACTTCTCCTGAGAAAATTTCACATTCACAAGAAAAAAGTGGTCAAACTCCAAGCCAAACATAATCCACTTCAGCAAAGAACTTTACAGCATCACAATTAAAGGACTTGAAATCAAAAAGGCAATGAAAACAATCTCAGTTCTAGAAAAACTTAATGTGAATTTATATTTATAGCCTGTAAATACGTAGATTGTTTTGTATTTTTTTTAGAATTTTTTTACCTTTTGTACCTTTTTATATTTGTCTTGTTTTTTTTGCACTTGAATACTATTATCTTTGTACCTGTTAATACCCCTGGCAGACACATTGGTAATGTTGATAAAAACTTAGTTAAAAAAGCAAGGAGCTCAGTGTCCCTCACTCAGACATGGATTACCAAGGCTCCAGCCTGGAGCCAGGCCCTTGGAGAAAGACTTGTTGGCAGGCGCCTTTTGACCAAGCCTCTACCCATGGGGCCTGATCGGACTAAGCACAAATGAGCTACATGGGTTTGCCTTCCTGTGGGCCCACAAACTGCAGAAAGGGCCATATGATTAGGGTGGCAGCCAAAGGTGGAGGTCTGGCACTCTGACCAGAGGCTACCAAAGCTGGCTCTTGGGACATGGAATGTCACCTTATTGGTGGGGAAGGAGCCTTGGCTTTTGTTTGAGGTTGAGAAGTACCGACTATATATATATATATATATATATGCATATCTCAAACCACAGAGTGCAATCTGGAACCAATCTCCTTGAGGGGGACTGGACCGTTTTCCATTATGGAGTATATACATAGGGTTTTTTCTTCAGAATTGAGCGATTCCATAATTTTTCTACTCTATTAGATCGAAAAAGTAGTTGTGACGGACTACAAAAGAAGTACACAACTTAGGTTGCATTTTGAAAACACCAGCCAGAAGATTGTAGTTGTGAAAAATGGCACGTGACATGTCAATATTTTATTTTTTACATACTGTATACAAAACTGAACAACTGAAAGAAAAAGAAAAAAAACCCACACACTTTTCATTATAACGATCAGTCAGAAAACCTACTCAGTGCTAATGTGTTCACAGTCTCTATGGGATAGTGGACCCGCAAGCCGTCGCTCCAGCTGGACCAGCATCAGCCGAGGCCCCAGCCTCCACAGGAGGAGCCAGTCAGGAGAGTTGGAGTCCCTGCTGTCTGACCCCAGCAGCAGGGAGCAGTCTCTGGACCAGTCGGACCACCTGCAGGTTCCCACACTCCTCTCACCTGACTGCAACGGCACCACCTTTCACCTCCCGGACCACAGTTACGATGAGGCCACTCTGACGTCATATTACCATGATGACCAGGAAGAGGAAGAGCTTGAGGAGGTGAATGAACAGAAATTTAAACAATGTTAATGTTATTACAGTTTTCCTTATTCCCTATTAGAAGAAGAAGAAGAAGAAGAAAATGGCAAGTTGATGCTACCTTGAAGTGTCTGGTTATAAGATGTCTAGTTGTTTAAGTATGAGAAATAGTTCAAACAGTTACTGCTAATATTCTGGTAAAAAGGTACACATCCAGACCTTAAATTATAAGTCCTGAAAAAAACATGCATTAATGTTCTCAGCTATGTTTGGATTTGACAGGTACACCAGGTTATCTGTATTTATTGGCAATTTGGAACATAAACATTGCACAATTATCGTAATTCAAAGAATGTACACTGAATGAAATCATAAACAGCATTTAAACTATATTTCATGAAATTGATTTTACCCACGCAAGTGTTTTATATATTTATTTTTAATCTTGAATCTCTCGTGTGTGTGTGTCTCTTTCCTGCAGAGTTTATGTAAGAGGCTGAAGAAGATACTAGAGCCATATGAGCCTCAGTGGTGCCAAGAGCATGAAGAGTGGTCCCTCTATGTGTTTGCTCCACATAACCAGTAAATGCACACGATCCTGACAAATACGTTCCCCCAAGACACACACACACACATGCACAAGGCCCCTGTTAGTCCCCTGAGCGATCTAGGTGTTTTAAACCCGCTCACGTGTGAAAGCTCACAGTGAAAGTGTGAAGCTCACAGTTCAGCTTTAGTAATGCAATTTTCACATTTATCAATTAAACGTGGGAAAACGCAAGTGCACACGTTACATAGAGCCATGCAGTGATGGAAATGATGCAGAAAGTGTGTTTTCTGTTAAAAATAGATATGTAGCTGCTGACTGTTTTGTCTTTGTTGTGTCTCTCTTTAGGTTCAGGTTGTGGTGTCAGAAGGTCATAAGTCACAAGATGTTCGATCACATCATCCTGCTTTTCATTTTTCTGAACTGCATCACTATAGCGTTGGAGAGACCTGACATCAATCCCAAAAGCATGGTAACACAAAATCATTTGTTTGTATAAGTATTGTAGAAAAATTACATATATCATAAGGTTTTCATCAGGCATTGATTAGTTGTTCCACTGCACAAAGGTCATTCCTCACTTGCTTCCGAGGAGTTGGAGTTTGGAGTGGAGTTTGTGTGTTTATTAGTCCACTTAACTTTGATCTATGAATCATTCAGATATAAACTTAAACTCAATGGATGAACCAGAGTTGTGTCAACACAGACAACTTTTTTTGGCAATCCACTTTTGACATCATCCAGTCAGATCTGTTCTATCTCAAACTTGTCCTAAACGCTGATAAAACCAAAGGAATGTTGTTTCAAACAGGAAGTTGTCCCAGTAGTTCTTCCCTTGATTTTATCCTGGAATGGTGTCCCTATTAAGTTTGTCGATTCCTACAAATACTTGGGTATCTTGGTTGATTTGCATCTCTCTTTTAAGTTCCATGTAGAAAACCTAGTAAGGAAGCTGAAAGTTAAACTGGGTTTCTTTTTCAGAAATAGATCCTGTGTAACTCTGAATGCTAGGAAATGCCGTGTAACTGTGACTTTCCTTCCCGCCATTGACACGGTGACATTATCTACATAAATGCTCCTACAAGCACTCTGCAGATGTTGGATGCTGTCTATCATGGTGCGCTAAGATTCATAAATGGCTGTAACTACCATACCCACTTTATTCACTGGTTAACTGGTCATCATTAACTTCATGCAGGCTCTCCCACTGGTACATTTTCATCTTTAAATCATTACTTGGTCTGTTGCCTTCATACATCTCCTACAGGTCTCTGTGTGAGTGCAGCTACAGCGTGCGCTCTCAGGACATTATTACCTGCAGTGTTCCCTCAGTGCGGGCTGAATTAGGCAATAGGGCCTTCTCCTACTCCGCTCCTGTTTCCTGGAATATCTTGCAGAAAGATCTGAAGCTCTCAACCTTGACCTCTCTAAATAGCTTCAAACATCTGTTAAGGTCCTGGGAAAAACCAATGCAGACATGTTCCTGTTTTTAGTTTTTTACATCGCCTTACAACCTTGCTCTTTTTTTCGTTACTTTTTAAAATTTAAATACCATATTATTTTCACTTGTTATTCTCAATTTGTATGCAACCTTTATGATTGACTATTGTTGTCTTTGTTGTCCACTGTTCGCATCCCTCTTTGTTTAAACCAGGCCTCTCTTGTAAATAAGTCCCCAAGGCTCAATGGGATTAACCTGTAAAAATAAAGGTTGAATGAATGAAAAAACTTGGCAATTTACCAGTTTTAAATTGTATTTTCAGGCACTTTGTTCTTAGCAGATTGCCAAAGGCAGAATTAGTTTCCATATTTCTTTGTTGAATTTACCAAAATACCAAAGATAACAGAATGACACAAACTTGTATTTTAGCACAAACAAGGTAAGGTTTTGACTTGGAACTTGAGACATTGATGATCAACTGAAAGTGGAGTATATCTCTAAGCTCTTTGCAGTCAAAAATATAAAAGACCTCCATAAAGCTTGCAAAGGTATTAATACTAGTAAAGTCAAGGTTTTTAATGCAAAATAACTAATGGTGTTTTAAACGTAGCACACAGTTTTCCAAGTTATTGTGCTTTTATGACACAGATGCTAACACAAATCTGACACAATTGTACTGTTAGTTTACTCAAGAGTGTGACCAACTGAAACCCAGGAAGACTCGACACTGAAGGTAAGGAAGAACAATAAAATGTACAACATATAAACCGTTACAGGGGCTGGACTTTGGAGGAAATGGGTTAGTTTCTGTGGAAGCAGAATGAAGATGGTAAGTTTTCTTGAAGGCAGAGGATCCTTTAAGGCAGGATCCTCACTTAAGGAAGGTTTGTATAATAAACAAAGGAGGCTAACTCTGTAGGTATTCATGCTTGGAGAGGAGGGTAAAATTCCAGGTTCCAGGAAGGTGAGTATGGTAGGTGAGATTCACATGCTGGTGTAAGAGAATGACGGGTCAGTCCAGGATTAAGAAGTAAAATAGATATCTTTCCAGTTGTATGTCCGTATGAAGAGAACTGATTTAGGGTGATGGTCCAAGGCAAACTCAGGCTGGAGGACAATGATGAGTCAAACTTTGGAGAACATAGGAAACAAATTCTCTCTCATCTGTGAGGCGCACAAAAAAACAGGATTAATTAACAATATCTTAGAATGCACTATGCACAATGTCTTTCGTCAAACCTTTTCTGTTCTGCTGTCTGGAGTAAAGCCTTTTGGCTTGTCTCCAGATCCAGCATCAGCATCGTAAGTGATGCTGGACTGATGGAATGGCAAACTCGGACTCTTGGCTAGGGAACAGGAAAGGAGAATATCTTAGGGAGAGGACAGAAGGGGACAAAACAGTATCTGAAGATGTTAGTGTTATGGGCATGCTCAATCCAAGGTGTGTGGAGACCAGGATGATGGATTATTGTTGATTACACACCTTAGGGCAGCTTCAAGCTCCTGATAGAAACATTCAGACTGGCTGTTGGCACAAGTCTTTCTTGAAAATGAGTCCTTGGGACTCAGTGAGACGAACCTGTATAAATAAAGGTTGAATTGAATGAATGAATGAATGAATGAATAGAGGGTGGTATCCTGAAGTGAGATTGGTGTTTGTGCCCAATGCTTGACAAAAATCCTTCCATACATGGGAGACACACTGAGGACTATGGTCAGAAACCATGTTCAGCGACATACCATCGAGTTAAAAGGTGTGTTGGATCATGAGTTGAGTGGTTTCACAGGCCAAGGGAAACTTGATGTGTGGCACAAAATAAGTAAGTCTTAGAAAAACAATCCACTTTGGTGAGGATATGGTGAGGAGTCCTCACTACAAGTCCTCACTGTCTCTTTCTGGACCAGACCAGTTGTATAGTCTGCTAGAAGGCAATGGCGCTGCAGGATGAAAGTGAAAGAGCCCTTTGTTAAATGCTTTTGGCAAGATCGTGGAATATGGGAGTTATCTTAATCTATCAAGCTTGTTTTGGACTCACTTTTTTTCAAAACTGGAGGCTGCAAAGTGTAAACACTTTTCCAAACATCTTTGACTACGAAAAACTGAACCTGGAAGTACCCTTATTTTGGGACTTGTAGTTCCTTTCTCATTGTCTTCCTGACATGACTGTCCATACGAATGGCAAGATTAATTGCATCATCAAGACATTCTGGTTCTTCATGAATGGTAAGTTCTTTTAACTGGTCAGATAATAAAATAATAAAAGTACCTCTTGGCCCCAGAGGAGAAGTTTGTTGACAGGAGAGTGTTTAACTTTTGAGAAACAGTGATTATCATACTGTCTAGATCCTCAATATTAGATTTTGAAGGTTTGTTAAGCCAACACCTGTTTCAATGCAAGTTCATATTTGCTCTGGCCAACTAATTGATGCATCTTTTTTGGTTTCTGTTAACTCCTGTTGGCCAAGACATTCTTACATTGTATTGTTAGTTTACTCAGCGTGTTATCAACGGAAACCCAGGAAGACTCAAAAGACTGAAGTTAAGGATTAATAACATTTACAATATTTACAGGGCTGGACTTGGGAGGAAACGAGCAAGTATCTGTGGAAGCAGAATCAAGATGGTAAATATTTTCTTTGAGGCAGAGCGTCTTCTGCAAGGTTTTTATATTAACAGAGGAGGCTTCCTTTGGTAATAGGTGTTCAGGCTTGCAGAGGATGTAAGTTTCCAGGTTCCAGGAAGGTGAGTATGGTAGGTGAGATTCACAGGTTGGTGTTGGTGAGTAGGTCGGACCAGGATGAAGAGGTAAGTGACAGATCTTTCCAGTTGTATATCCGAATGAAGAGGATTGGTTTTAGGGTGATGGTCCCAGGCAAACTCAGGCTGGAGGATGACGATAAGTCTCAAACTTGAAGAACACAGAAAATGGATTATCATCTGCGAGGAGCACAAGGAAGAGTAGACACTGTCTCATCATTGTCCTCAGGCAGCCCTTAAATACAGCAAGGTGGCTCACTGAAGGAATGAGCCACAGCTGAGGAGAAGAAAACTGCTCTCTGTCACTCAGGAGCTTCAAAAAGGTGATGTGAATTCAAACAATACTGGAATCTCTACAATATCAACAATATGACACATTCCTGCTGGCTTATGCAGACATGTGGGTGTATTTACTTGTACCTTTTTAATGTAACTACTGTAAAACAATATAAAAAAAATCCATATTTCATACAATTTATTTTAAATCTTAATTGCTGTTCCTTTGTGGGATTATTTTATGTGTAAAATTTTGCTGACGCAGGAAAAAAGGTTTGGTTCTATTTGTTAGGAAAGTGAAACAAAACAACATTAGGTCTGTGTGAGTGAGCTTATACAGGCACAAATTATGCCACTTCTCTCTAAGATTATTTAACCCACGACTCTTTGATGGCAAGTTTTTATACATGAATCAGTTCTTGCTTCCCGCACAACTATATGATGTACCTGAAACCATCCCGAGATTATCATGACTCCATTTAGCTGGCTTCTGAATCACATTTTCTTTGTATACTCTTACATAAACCAGTTTGTGGGATAAAACCTTCACTCATAGTTGTAGGCAAATCGACTCAATTATTGATTGCACTAATACCAACACTGACATCGGTATTGATCAATACTAGCGGGGTGGGGCTGATATTCCTGTTTCAGATTCTCTCCTTGACAGCTGGTGTGTTGCTCCTGTTTCATTAAAAGTAGACATGTCTATGCAAACACCACCCCTTCTGCATCTCACCTACACATTTTACTCCTCCTAAGCTCCGTTGCGCTCTGTTGTGTGCCGTCACGTAACTCAGCGGTGCTGTGAACACACAAACACATGCTGGCTTGCAGAGAGTGATGACAGGATGATACAGAGAAAGAGGAGTCATGTGGAGCCATTTCACCTCCTTTAATAAAAATGTTGCAAACTGCCATGTGTATAGGCAGGCGATTTGCCACCATAGCAATACCACCAATTTATATAAACACTTGGAAAAAAAAAACGCATGAAAAAGAACTTCAGCTGCCAACAAAAGCCAGGAATCAATAAGACAAACAAAAATGGAAGAGCAGGTAGAAGAGTAAAAGGTAAAAAGGCTTTGATCCAGCAGTAAAAAACAGGAACACCAACTGACAGGGATAGTTAACAGGATGAAACTGTGATCTGAACAATCAGTAAACCAACTATAGTCTGGATTGATTATCAAAAGTAAAACCACCTGAAATGTACCAGCCCCACAGTAATTAAAACCCAAACATTTCCTGAAGGAATGCATACTGCCAGCCACCTTTCGAGACCATCCTATGCTGAGAAGAAACAGAATTGTAGCCGTTTTGGTCAAACCTTGTAAAATGTCGCTGTGCACGAGTTGCATTTGGGCCTAATAAATCTGGCTTGAACCCAGACCGAGCCCGTAGTTTTGTTTTTTCCCAAGCCCTACCCGGACCCAACGGATTACCGGTAATTGGAGTCCCCCCCCCCCCCCCCCCCCCCCCCCCCCAAAAAAAAAAAAAAAAAAACTACTTTTTTTAAAAATAAGCTTTTACTGCTTTTGTAAGCAAATCAGTTTGACATGATAATTTAAAAAACGTAATGAAAGGAAGATATACTATTTATGTTTAATAACAAGTCACCAAATGGATTTTAACATACAAAACGAATAGCCTAAAAAATCAACTGTAAAGATAGACTATTACACAGATGAACAAAAATATTTTAGAGGAATTTTTTTTTGAAAAACATAGAACAAGGCTATTTTAATTGAACGCGCTGATCGCCTGGGCTTTTGTAGATGCTGCTACTTCTTTCACCGCAGATGACAGCAGGTGCGGAGACGCACGCGGCCGGTAATCAGCTGATTGATCCATCCATCCATCCATCCATTATCTTTACCCGCTTCTTCCTTTTCGGGTAGCGGGGGTTGCTAGTGCCCACGTCCAACAGTCACTGTGTGAAAGGTGGGGTACACCCTCGACAGGTCGCAAGTCCATTTCAACCGGCGAGTCAGCAGACGCGTGCGGACGGTGACAGGTTGTCCGTCTGAGCTTAACGCAACATTTTTAAACCTCTTTAAACCGGCCGGTCGGACCTGCCTCCTCCTCAACAAGTAGATTAACACAGTTTTGTATTGTGCATTATTTAGTTTTATTTGTGCTGTATGATTCGCAAAACCACAGAAGCCTGAGCCCACATGCGCAATTACTGCGCAATGCACCAGCGATCTCTTCCACAGTCTGATTAACTGCTTCACTCTTCTTTCTTTCTTCATCCTCTCATTTTATTTGTGCTGTATGATTAATAAAACCTCATCAAAGCCCGAGACCAGCCCGGCCCGCATATTAATCACATTATAACGGCCCAGAGTAGGGCCGGTCCGGGCCGGGTTTCGGGTTCTGGTTAGAAATGATAGCTCTGCTGTGCACAATGTTAGCTCTGAAAGTGTGCTGAGGATGACTTCATAGCTACTAAAACTAAATTTTAGTTCAACATCTGTAAAACTGACCAAGGTAAAGCCATTCATGGGCCTGCCAAAGTTGATTAGCTGTGGCGTTCACCTGGAATTGGGTTATTCTAAAAGTTAATCAGTTGTAGATGCACATCCAATGGTTGATCTGAAGGTTTCAGTAAAATCCATCCAGTGGTTCTCAACATTTTTTCAAACTGATATAAATGGTTGAGCCCAACAGGTAATACCAAAGTGTTAAACAAAATATTGCTCATTGCTTAGTTCTCAGAGCATCTGTTGGGTATGTATATCAGCTACTACCACTCCAAACTTTAACTCAGTATTAGCAAATCTGAGTTATTGTCACAACTGGCTGGTGCTGGTAAACCCAATGGTGCAGGCAGGCAGGCAGGCAGGCAGGCAGGCAAGGACTCAGGATGTTTATATAAAAATAAAGAATTTATTAACACAAAAGGGCTGGCAGGGCAGCAAAAACAAACATAGAACGATCAGGGGGTACTCACGATACAGACAGGTCGTCACCAGTGAACAGAAGACAATGCCAAGACGAGGACTAACACAGAGACACAAACTTATATAGAGGAAACGCCAATTAGACAAAGTGAAGACACCTGTGAGTAATCACAGGTGCCAGAGAAAGAGACCGAGGATGCAAGACATGAACACACACAAGATGGGGCTAGATAATAAAGAAACACAAATCCTATAAAGAGAAATGGAGGATCGAGGGAACGCAGACATAAACACGACAGTAGGGACAAAACCACAACTCTTACAGTTATGGCCATTTGAGTATTTTCTAAAATCACTTAGCTAGGGCGTGCAATTTAAATTGAATCAAACTAAAAAAGACCTTAACAAACCCCTATTGTGAGGACTGATAAGGCAATCTGCATATTTATCTAGTTTAACTCAGCTTTATAACTCGAACCCCACACTCTGTTCTTTGACTTGAGAAAGCGTCTCGGATGAGAAGCGAAACGTATTCTGTTGCAAATAAAGTCCAGTTGTTTTTTGTCTTGAACTTTTTTGAATTTACCATGTCCTAGATGACTGAGGATCTTCACCAATGTATCTTGAATTGGGTTGACTTCAAACATTAGTCAGTTGTAGATGTACAACCATGGATCACTTACTGAGTGTTTCATTAATATCCATCCAATGGCGCTTGAGATATTTAGCAATAAACATGGCAGAAGTTAGACCCAAGCTTTCAAAATGAAAAACAAAATGGACTAGAGTACAAAAGAAGACCTAAAAAAAGTATGAGATTAAAATGCATAGAAAATGTTAAACCAAACAACAACAACAAAACTTTTTGGATACATCATAAAAGTGCTATGCAATTTATAAAAGCAATGCAAAAGTCTTTTTGTTTTTTCTTTTGCTTAAAAAATATGTGAAAAGCTGACAAATGCTTTTGTCTTTGGGTTGAAGCTTCGATGACAGACACCAAGAGCAGGTTGACTTCTCTACATACTAATGACAGGAGCTCCATTGTTCCTTTTCACACATCCTTTAGAGTTGGACACGCTTCACTATCCTTGTCAAAAAGAAAGGAGATAATGCCCACAGTGCTGTGAGACGGGCAGCAGCATTAAATTTATGTTCAGCAGTTTTTACAGTCACGTAGACAAATATGAAGACCAAAAGAAGAGTTTGAACCACATCCTGAATGTAAACCAAGAATATTTTTATGTGTTTCACTTCCCTCCTCCTCATTAGTTTTATTTACAGACCTAAATTTCTATTTAGGTTTAATAACGAGGTTGGACTCTCTTTCCTTAAATTGTTCGTTTAGGTCTTTAAAAGTGGGTTCGGTGGGAAAGTTATGAACAATGAGTAACTTGATGGTAGCTTTTTAAATTACCTCAATTTTGAGAAAATAGAAATTAGTTCTGATAAAATTGACGAGCTAATGGTTAGTCTGAGTGGAGTAAAAACCAACGCAGATAGCTGCCACATTAAGACAACTCCTTTCTTAAAATTTTATATCAGCTCATGTAAATGCTATTTTAAAAAAATGTTACATTTCCATCAGTTTTGCATTTGACCATTCCTGTAGAAATATGACAGTTCTACCAGAACTCTTAAGCTGCACTTAAATGCTATTGCTAGCTGCTGCTGTCATTTGCCAATAACTATAGAATATAATCTAATATAGAATTTACCGACTGTTTTTATCATTAAATAATTAAATTCTAAAATAATCAAATTGTCAAGGTCCGTGTAAATGTATTTTCAAGGATTGATCAGGCCCTGCTTAGTTAATTTTTAGGTAAATCATGGAGGAACACAAGTTTGCATCCCACATTAGAAAGTGGGGATGCAGTTGCTCCGCTCGAACCACTGGTCAGGCATCCAGCTTTTAAACCCCACTTCAAAAAACCCAAACTATATCCCTTTATCCATACATGCATTTTATGTACCCACTTGTTCCAGTCGAGAGTTTTCAGGGTGAGGCAGGGTACACCTTGAACAGGTTGTCAGCCCATCACAACATATGTTTTTGTGGAATCTCCTTTATTTTTGCATGGTTTTATTGTATTTTTCAATGAGGTCGAGGGAAAGCCTTTTTATTTTCTCTGACTACAGAAATGCACTCTTAGATTAAAAGGGTGTTATTGTGATGTGAAAGAAAGTAGAAGAACAAACCTGGAGTTGCAAACTATCAAGCTGCAGCATTTTCTGCAGGAGACAATCCATTTGGAGTGAACTTGGCAGAGCTTTTCATATAGAGAAAGCTCTATGCCTCATGGTAGTAATGGAATAACTAAATAAATGTCCACTTTAAAGAGCTCTTTGAAGTGAGGAGAGCTGGGTTTGATAAAAATGGAAAAAATGCAGATGGTTGCATGCTTGCTTGCAGCTGATGTAAAATAAATCTGAGCTCTACACTCAGACTGTGTGTCGTTTGTATGATTTCATTCTGTTTCTTTAACAACTGCTGGGCTTCTTGTTTCAGCTCATTATGTAACATGCTGCTGTCCAGAGTCAAAGCTAAAGCTACTGGGGCACACAACCTTTGAAATTACGACTGTGTCTCTCGTGCGCTGCTGATCACACTCTAACATGTGCACATTGTTTCTGGTGTCAGGAGCGAGTGTTTCTCAGTGTGTCCAATTACATCTTCACTGTCATCTTCGTGGGTGAGATGATGATCAAGGTAACTTTAACTGCAGAAGCATTTAATCCAAAAAACAAACAATCTCATTAATAAGATGTAAATGTCCTTTCTTGGGTCTGTTTTTTTAATGCAGTGCAAGTAATTTTGATGGATTTGTGTGTGGTAAGGTTGTGGCCATGGGCTTTTACTTTGGAGAAGGTGTTTACCTGCAGAGCAGCTGGAACGTCTTAGATGGCATGCTGGTGTTTGTGTCACTGGTGGACATCCTGGTCTCCATTGCATCAGCGGGTGGAAACCGAATCCTGGGGATGCTGCGGGTGCTTCGACTGCTTCGCACGCTGCGACCGCTCAGGTGGGAAGATGGTTTATTTTCTCCTGTTTATCGCCTGCTGCCCTGAAATATGGGCGATCATGTATTTGCCTGCATGTGTGTGTTTGTGTTCACGTGGTATCCGTCTGTTAGCAAAATACTTCATGAGCCAGTGGATTAAGTTTAATGAAACTTCACAAAGTTATCACGAGATGCACATTTGCAAACAATTAACTTTTGGAGTCGCCCCAATTCATGACGATTGACACAGTTTTCAACCTCGGCTAGTACAAAAATGGCTAAAACTCAGCTAATTTTTACAGATATTAAGCTACAATTTGGTGTGTTAGTTGCAGAGACTAATCCACAACACATACTTGTAGAACATACAGATTGCTTGAGATTTTTGCTTAAAACTTTGGTAGTAAATATTGGAGTCAACTATGTTGACAAACTATCTCATGAAGCAGGGACTCATTTTAAATGAAACATTCAGGAAGAATTCATTAGATGCATGTCTAAAACTGATTAACGTTTGGAGTCAAATCGATTTGAGATGGCCACTACAGCTACAGAACAGACTATAGAAAAACAAAGATGACAGTGAGTCACGGGAGCTGCACAGCTGGAGAGAGAAAAGCTGCAGAAAGTGGTGAAGGCTGCACAGAAGTCTGTTGGAGTCAGCCTCCCCACCATCACAGACATTTACACCTCCAGATGCAGGAAGAGGGCCACCTGCATCATGAAGGACCCCATTCACCCAACACACACACTTTTTGCCCCGCTCCCCTCAGGCAGGAGGTTGAGGAGCATTAAGTGTAGAACCACTAGACTGAGGAACAGCTTCTACCCTGAAGCTTTTAGACTCATGAATCTCTAACCATAAAAATCACTGTAATGCCACTTTAATTGGAGATTTTTTCACTTTATCTGTGCTGCTGATTATCCATGCTGCTGCTTTCTTACTATAAGTTGCTGTATTCATAACCATCTGCTCACAACAGACTCATGTTCAAGCTGCTGTTTAATAGGTCTCTCTTGAAAATGAGTTCTCGTGGCTCAATGAGACTACCTGTATAAATAAAGGATAAAAAAAAAACACACAAAAAAACCCCATTAAAAATAAAAAAATTAAAAGCTTTGTGTGAAAAATGTTATGCTAAAGAGCTCAAACCACACAGAGCATCTGCCATTTCAAGAACCGAATAAAAGGAAAGAAAGACAGCCCATGTCACGTCAAGGGACCTCCCTCCCATTTTTCTTAAATAGACACACCTCTTGCTCTCTCACTATCCATCCTTCGGTTCAAACACTCTTATACTGCCATCGGGTGGACAAAAAAGGTGCTATACTCAAAACAAATTAACCAACATTTCTTCTTAAATTTGACAATAATGACTAATTATTGAGAAATTTCAAACAATATTATCGTTTATCGCAATAATTTCTGAGACAATTAACTGCCCAGCAAAATTTGTTGTCGTGACAGGCCTACCTTGAACCTTGAGTAAGTATTACAAATACTGAGCTAAAATTAGGTGTGTTAGAAGCTGAGAGAGTCATTCCTTCACATATTCTGGGTGCTAACAAATTATGCTATATCTTTGTTTAAAAATTTGGCATGCAAGGCAGTGGGCGACATAGATTACTTCAAAAAATACTTGTCGAATTTCCCTCGTGTATTTTTCTTGTCTTGATATTTTGTCTTTTAAACTGTGCATGTTGTGTGTCTTGCAGGGTGATTAGTCGGGCTCCGGGTTTAAAACTGGTAGTGGAGACGCTGATCACATCTCTGAGGCCAATTGGAAACATCGTCCTCATCTGCTGCGCTTTTTTCATTGTGTTTGGAATTCTAGGAGTGCAGGTAAATATTTGCTTCTTCTTTATCCCGTTGGTTGAAGATAAAGCTTTTTTTTTTAACCCCTTAATTCTCATCAAAAATACAGTTCACCGTTTTTATTCAACGGATGTTATGTTTGCTGCTGAGGGAAAGACACTGATCCCGGTGGTTTAAAATAAACGAGGCACGGATCAGAAAGGCTTCAGGTAATAAAAAGTGAAGAGGAAAATCGGGAGGAAATGTAAATGAGCTGCTGATTATGCAAGATAGTCCCTTGAAGTAATTAAAAATACAATGGCTCTACAGAGGAATTGTGCTGAGAATGTATTCTTTAAACTGGGTTTTATCCTGGATTTGATATGGTTAGTTTGAATAATTTAATCTATTTATTAGTTATTAATGTCAGGGAATCCTCACTGTTAGCTTTTTCTTGAAATAAAATAATATTAAGCTCAATCTTGACTCAAATTCAGATATCCATCTTGGTAAACAGCGTCTGTCCCTAATGTCTCGCATCCAAAGATGAAAAGAGAGATGATTATTTCGCATATAAAATATTTTTTCTTTGTTAGAGACATTTACAGGAAGTGGTCGCTTCATTTCTTCAGACCCTGAAAATCTTCAAACGCCTTTAAAAGGAAATAAAGATGAGTGAAAATTTGTTCTTTAGATGAAATACTTTTATTGACATTTTTCATGCGAAAGGCATCATTTGCCTTTTGGACTAATTTAAAGCACTTAATATCTTACCTGTTCCGTAAAACTCTTTGAATGGCATTAGTTTGAGAAAACAGGATTTATTTCTGATCACACTGATGAGCTAACAGCTAGTCGGAGTGAAGCCAAGATCAAAGTGAACTGCTGCTGTCCTCAAACAGCTACAGTCTCAACAATTTCAAAGAGATTCATGCAATCCACAAGCAGTTTTATAAACCTTTAAACCTCAGGAAATTCCCATGACATGATGATTCTAGCAAATACATTCACATTTTCCCGCTAGATGTGTCCCAGGCTACATTAGAGGTGCTACAGCTAGCTGCTGCCGCTGTTTGGGCTTACAGTTAACCAGTGAATTTAATACAAATAACCACATCATTTAAAATTAACAGTGATGTAAAGGTTTTAAATAATTTTTGAGACGAGAGTTGTTGTAAAATTGTATTCCTCTTTGGTGTTGACTCAGCTCGGACTAGCCGTTAGCTTGTTAATACCTTCCATGAATCTGTTATGGCGACTGCCGGCTGTTTTTCAGAACTTTGATGACCCTATTGGGCCGTCCATGATCCAAATAGGGGATTGAAGTTCTACCCCCTTTTTTTAAACAACAGTTATGTCAGGCTTTTGCCTATGAAAGTAAATGAAAATGAACTTTAAAAGCACAAGAAAGCAAGTAATAGTCCCAAAATAATCTAATAAATTAATTTTTTTTTTTTTTTTTAAAGTTATGCTTATGAGGCTGTTAATGGTCTGGATCTAGAATAATTCAAACTAAACTTTTAACTTTTCTCCAAAATATTATTCAAGTTGCTAAAATGAGGAGAAAAAAAAATCACGCTTTAAAATTTTTTTCTTAAATTCATATTTTTCTGACCCGTGAGTCCTTTCATCTAGACAGTTCTGGCCCACCCATGAAAATGTTTGGACACCCCTGCTTTAAGGTGTTACTGTTACTGAAAGTTTGGGATCAACTACATATTGAGTTATTTTAAATGTTTATTTTAGAGATAAGTCAGTTGTTAAAGCACAGCAATTTTGAAATGACTTCTGTTTCGTTTTTCAAATTCTGGTTTCCATTTCTGCAAATCTTTCTGCAAAACACAACATTTAATTTTAAAACATAAGGCCGGAAGAGGAGATAGAGACTAAAAACCCACGCACACTTCTTCCTGAAAATCGCACACTGACTTGATAATTGTTTAATGAGAGCACACCACGCTGCAGTGTCGCCGTGCTCGTGCAGACAGGACCAGATGGTAGATGGGATTCCTAACTGTAATGTGACGGCCCGCAGGCTGTCACTGAGCACTTCACTGCACGTTCCTCTTCTCGACGCTTCGTGTTTATCTTGAGGTAACAGTTGCACCTGTCTCTTTGCAGTTGTTCAAAGGGAAATTCTTCCATTGTGAAGGACCAAACATCAGAAACATCACCAATAAAACGGAGTGCCTGCAAGCGGGTTATCGCTGGGTTCGACGAAAATACAACTTTGACAACCTGGGACAGGTTTGCCTCAACGCCCACACATCCTGCTTTTTGACAGCAGCTCTTACATTCTGATTGACAGCGATGCTTCGTGTGTGTTTCCCTCATGCAGGCGCTGATGTCCCTCTTCGTCCTGTCCTGTAAAGACGGCTGGGTGAGCATCATGTACGACGGCCTGGATGCTGTTGGAGTGGACCAGCAGGTGAGGAAACACGGGATGAAATAACACGTGGGAGATGAAAATAATGCATCCTTAGAATAGAAGAATAAATCCTCCAGACAGAAAATGTTGTATTTTACTGTTTTATGTCAGCCTCTGTTTTATGTTTGATGTGGTTTGCTTGAAGAAGAAAGGCGAGACGTTTCAGACGAGATGAATGTGAGGTGTACGGAAAGGAACAAAGAAAACCTGCAGATGGATAAATAGATGTGACAGTGCAGGCACTTTCACTGCTGACTCAGAACTTACATTGTCTTCTTGTTTATGCTCTCCTCTTCTCCTTGTCCCCACCCGCCTCCCTTTATTCCCTCTTTGGTGCTCCTGTTCCACCCATTCACCCTCAACTCCTCTTCTTCACTCATTCCCCCCTCTCTGTCTTTCTCTGCAGCCGATAAGGAACAACAACCCTTGGATGCTGCTGTTCTTCATCTCTTTCCTCCTCATCGTCAGCTTTTTTGTGCTCAACATGTTCGTGGGCGTGGTGGTGGAAAACTTTCACAAGTGTCGCCAGCAGCAGGAGGAGGAGGAGGCCCGGCTGAGGGAGGAGAAACGACAAAAGCGATTGGAGAAAAAGAGGAGAAGTGAGAAAACATCACAGTGGCGGGTGGAGATGGGCACTTACACTATGAGGTCAAAAGTAAAATCGTATTTGTCACTTGCAGAACACGTTGGGCCAAAGCTACTCTGAATGTCAGCTTTCAACTCTTTCTAACGGGGTTGTTTCTTCAAAATCTTATCCAATCAGAGCAGCTTGACCAACGAAGTGGGTGTATCTTTAGTTGCATATATTAATTTAGGTCAAGATGATCACCTTTCTTCAAAATAAACAAAGAACAATGATTTTACTTTCTTTAATGAAATTAAAAACGTCACTAGAACCACCTTCTTCCACCTGCGTAATATCACTAAAATTAGAAACATCTTATCTAAAAATAATGCAGACAAACTGGTTCATACATTTGTCACATCTAGACTGGACTATTGTAATGGTTTATAATCTGGGTATCCAAATACTTCTTTAAAATGCCTTCAGTTAATCCAAAATGCTGCTGCCAGAGTCTTAACTGGAGTGACTGGGAGAGATCGTATCTCTTCAGTTTTAGCTTCTCTCCATTGGCTCCCTGTCAAATTCAGAATTGAATTCAAAACCTTACTTCTAACCTACAAAGCCTCCAACAACCTAGCTCCATCTTATATGTGAGATCTTACTGTTCCATATTTTCCCAACAGAGCACTTCACTCTCAGACTGCAGGTTTATTGTGGTTCCTAGAGTTTCCACAAGCAGAATGGGAGGAAGATCTTTCAGTTATCAGGCTCCTCTGTTGTGGAACCAACTTCCAGTTTCCATCCGTGAGGCTGACACATTGTCCAGTTTTAAGACTGGGCTTAAGACTTTCCTTTTTGATAAATCCTATAGTTAGGGTTGGCTTGTTATGCTGCCATAGGTTTAGACTACTGGAGGACAAAGTGACCTCATTTCCTTAAATGAATTGTTAAAACTGAATAGTTTTCATTTGATATTATTTCTATCTTAACATGATTCTTGACTTGCCATTGTGTATCTGTTCCTACCAAACCCAGCCGGTCTAAGCAGATGGCCGCTTGTCCTGACCTGGTTCTGCTAAAGGTTTTTTCCTCATGAGGGAGCTTTTCCTTTCCACTTTCGCCTTCATTCTTGCTCAAGATGAGAGTTCTGCGATGGAGTTAAATTCAAAGCAGTCTGCTCCTCCTATAAATAATGTTAACACATTTTTTATATATGAATGTTTCTGTTCAGTGATGTGAGACGACATCTGTTGTGACTTGGCGCTTTATAAATAAACTGAATTGAATTGAATTGTTAGACCCACCAACACCCTTCTGGGAAGGATTTCTACCACCACTTGATCACAACTGCAGATGTTTGTGTCCTTTCAGTTGCAGGTACATTCATCTCAGTTTATCTGTCAGTTTCTACAAGTCATTTTATTTAGGGTTTATATAAACTTGTTTCTCTCAGGTCCGTAGGTGTTTGAGAGCTTTATTAGCACTTGTTTCTTAGTCCGTGCACATTTAGTCTACTTTGAAGTCTGAAACACATATTAAAACTTTTTTTTCTCTTTGATATGAAGTATTCATGAAGGAGAAAGACAGAATAAAAACAATGTGCCAAAAGAAATGCAAAATGCTTTTAACAACCATGAAAAAAAAAAAGTCTGGTGTCAAAAAAGACTGAAAATGGAAGAAAGCAAACTCTCAGTGGGAGATTTTCATTCCAAGGGTGTTAATAAGACTTGGAATTGTAGCTTCAGGTAATAAGTAAACGTCTTTTTAATCCCTTTCAGAAAGCCCTTTCTTTATGAACCAGGCTTTATGCATGGAAGTACAGTTATGGTGAAAATTGTACTATAAAGATAACAGACACCAGTGTCTTTTATAATGTAGCTGCAAATTGAAGTTCCAACTTACTGTTGGCAGAAACTCAGTATAGTTTGAATATGTTGGTAGCACATTAATACTGCGCTGAAACTTGAATTATTGCAATTAGAATTAGATTTAGTGATTTACAGCATGTCCTATGTTGGTATCACTCCACATCACTTAATCTTGAGGTACCAACTAATTATAGTAATGCGGAAGCAACCAGTCAAACAGAATTCTGAATCTTTACTCTTTATGTTGAAAAGTGTCAGATTTTCTTAATTCACACTTAATGTGAATGAGGTGTAAAAACAGCTAAAATGAAGAACTGTTGATGTTTTTTTTTACACATCCAAATAAAAACAACTAAACTGTGGAATAAAGACCAACAAAATTTAATTTCAGTTGTAAAGTAAGCATCATTGTTATTTTTGTCTTTTTGCTGTTTAGAATCAGAATCAACTTTACTGTCATTGCATCGAAGCACAACGAAATTATGTTTCAGTACAGCCCGTCCGAGAAAACATAAACAATCAAACATGGAGAGACGGGGGTGTCTGAGGCTGCGGCCTTCGGGAGGCGCTGCCCTTTTCGTTTAGATAAGAAAAAGAGAAACACGAGGGGAGGGGAGGTATAAAAAGCATCATATCTCACACTGTGTCCTAGAAGCAACACAGTGTGAGAGTTGCAAAAAAAAAGACCTCAGCAAAAAAAGCAACATACAGACATAAGACATATGTGTGTTGTGGGTGGGGGTGGGGGTCCCAGCACAGGCTGCCCAGTGAGCGACACAGCCATTGGCTCCTTTGCATCTCCTAAGTTGCTGCACCATGGGAGGGATGAGGGAGGCCAGCAAAGGCATGCATTTCAGGGGAAGTAGTCCGTGAACACTGTCCAGAGTGAGGTTAATTTCCGTCTGCCTTTACTGTCTCGCTAGTACAACTCATGGCGACTCCAAACAGCCAAATTGTGATTACATGCACAGAGTCGAGCTTCCAACTTCCCCAAGATCTATTCCTTCTCGCCAGCGAGATTCAGGAGCCGCAACTAGCCTGTGAGAGTCGCGTCCAGCTTATGGCTCAGCTCGCACAGCATTTGAGTCTGAGTGTTTAAAAGCACGACACATTCCTTCACGCCAGGCAGCTTAATAATGTCGAGAACAGCTGCTGATGTTTTCCAAATTTGTCGATAAGCCAGGTAACCACCAATCCCAAAAAGCAGGATCCTGTTACCATGAATCCAAATATGTGCACGCATGAGGGCTCTCCTTCGCCCTGTCTTCTTGTAGAAAAAAATTTCATCAATTGAGTTGAGAGACCAGCTGACCAGATCCATAGTTTACATAGTTTATTACTTTTAGTAAGTAATATTGCAACCCTGACAGGCTGACAGTTTGTGAAGAATATATTTATATAAGCTATCATATAATAAATATTTATATATTTAAGTTTATACCTAAGTTGTTCTAAAGCACCTAAACAAACATGAATCAGACTGGTTCAACCATAGAGCCTTGGTCACATACACAGCTGGGGGCAGCTGTGGATGAGTGGTTAGAACAGTTGTCCTCCAATGGGAGAGTTGGGGGTTTGATTCCACCAGCAGTCACATGTTGAAAAGTCCCTGGGCAAGACACTAATTGCCTCAGCTGTGTGTCCCATGATCGGTGTATGAATGTGATTTATTTATTGCACTGATTATTCTTTGTAGAGATGTAGTAGAGTGCTGTATGAATGGGTATATGAGGGTATAGATTGTAATGTAAAGCACTTTGAGTATCTTGATAAGATAGGAAGTCTCTACACAAGTACAGTCCATTTACCATTTAACCCCCCGAACACACACACTGCGTTCTTTCTGACTTTTCCAATACCACATCTGTGACTCACTTTATCCAGTCTTTCTCTGCAGTGTAATTTCTAGTAGTGCTTTCACGTTAGTCTTTGAATGGGCTGGCAGCAGACGCCGAGGGTTTTTGCCCAAAGACACCTTGAGGTGCCATGGAGTGTGTGTATACATGATGGATAGGATGAAATTCCTGAGGTGGCACTTTTAGTCTGCACAAACACACACATATATATATATATGCACACTCACACATGCAGTGGAGTGCCACTTGGCACACACTTCATCAGTGACTTCATAGGCCATATCTTTTTATCCAGGAGGGTTTTAATGACTGTGTGTGTGTGTGTGTGTTTACCCATGATGCAGGGGCCCTGGAGAAACCTTATTACGCCGACTACTCTCCACTGCGCCGATCCATACACACTTTGTGCACCAGCCACTACCTGGATCTCTTCATCACCATCATCATCTTCACAAACCTCCTCACTATGAGCATGGAGCACTACAACCAGCCTCAGGTAACCATGGCAACTCCTACACCCACCTGTCCCAGAACCATAGTAATGAAGTACAGGCACAGTGGGTTTTAGAAATTTGTTTTCTTCTTCGTCATTTCCCGCAGTACCTGGAGGAGATACTGAAATACTGCAATTACGTTTTCACTCTGGTTTTTGTCATCGAGGCCATTCTGAAGCTCATTGCCTTCGGGCTGCGCCGATTTTTCAAAGAGAGGTGATTATATTCTTGCTCGAACACAATGACTTGCACAAACATCCAGTTTTATCCTTGGTGTAAGTAAAAACTGTGTCCATGTTTGTGTTCAGATGGAACCAGCTGGATCTAGCCATCGTGCTGTTGTCTATTATGGGGATCACACTAGAAGAAATAGACCTGAACGCTTCCCTTCCCATCAACCCTACAATCATACGCATCATGAGAGTCCTGAGGATAACACGAGGTGCTCACTCCTCGACACACACAATACACACAGGCATAAAGAGTGGCTGATGAGAGCTGACGAGCTGTGTTGTTTCAGTGCTGAAGCTGCTAAAGATGGCCACGGGGATGAGAGCTCTGCTGGACACAGTGATGCAGGCTCTGCCTCAGGTAAGAAGCAGCCGTGATGCTACCAAAACAAGTGTGTTTTGAACTGCTCTCCTGGTGTCCAGACCAGATGAAATGCAGGCTGCTTGTTGTGTGAACGCTTAAGAAGCATTCACACTCGTGATTCATTTTTCTTCTGTACATTTTTCAGCATTTTTCTCATTCCACAATTTTCCAGCAAATCATAAATCAAAACGTTCATCTCGTTCAGGACAATCCTGCTATGACTTTTGGTATTGGTACAACTTTAGCTTTTTGAAGTATTTAGCCTTTTCTGCCATTTTTTCTCATAGAAAATGAATTGAGCTTATTTTACAAATCTTTAGATCTGTTTACAACCTTTTACTGCTCCTTTCACATTTTGTTCTGGTTCAGCTTCTTTTAGCTTTCTTGTGCAAATTTAAAAAAAATTTCAGCTAAATTTTTTTTTTTTGTTAGCTGTTTTGTGCTCCTTTTAGATTCTTTCTACAACATTTTTGCACTTTTTCTAACTTCTTTCTGCTTTCAGCTGATGTCTTCTAGTTTCGTTTTTTCTGCTATTTCAGCTACTATTTAGCTGTTTTATGCTAATTTTAAAATTTTCAGCAAATTCCACATTTTTTGCACTCTACTTTTGTCAGCCTAATTCAGTAAAAAAATATGCTCTTTTTGCTTCTTTTTGGTAATTTAAGCTTCTTTTTGCATGTTTAGCTACTTTTCAGCTGTTTTTTGTTTGTTTGTTGCTAACTTCAGCTTTTTTCAGATACTTTCCACTTTTTTGTGCTGATTCTTGTATCTTTGAGCCTAACTGGAGAAATGTGTTCTTTCTGCTTTTTTCTGCTAATTTAGGCCTTTTCTAACTTGTCAGCAACCTTTTTAAATTTTTTAGCTAATTTCAGCTGTTTTCATATCAGTACAAGTTTTTCATGGTAATTTCTGCTACTTTCAGCCTAATTAACTTTTTTCTGCTGATTAACTACACCATTTTGTGCTTCTTCTACTCTTTCTGCTAATTTCAGCATGTTATGCTCCTTTCGGCTTATTTCTTCTAGTTTCAGCATTTTTTTGCTTTTTCAGTAACTATTTAGCTGTTTTTTTTTTTTGTTTGTTTTTTTGGCTAAATTTACCATTTTCAGCTAATTCCACTTTTTTCTTTTTTTTTTATTTTATTTTTTTTTTTAGCTAATTTCAACTCCTTCCACTTCCTTCTGGTAGTCTGAGCTTCTTTCTGCCTTTTCAGCTACTTTTCAGCTTTTTTGTTGTTGCTAATTTCAGCTTTTTTGTGTGCTTATTTCATATTCTTTGTGCTCATTTCTGCTTATGTACGTAAACCCAATTCAGCAAACATATTTTTGTTTTCTTGTGCTAACTTTGACTTGTTCTTCCATTTCAGCTGCATTTCAGCAAGTTTTGTTGTTGTTGTTGCTAATTTCAGCTGTATTTCAGCAAGTTCCTCAGCAATTCACAATGCATTTTCACAGGAAATGCCATTTCTCTAGTTTATTTATCAGTGTAGGTGGCCTGGCTGTGACTGCCTTCTGCATGATTTACGATCAGCCCTCGTCTCACCAATTGGCTGCTGTTAAGCGTGTAGTACATGAGAACAGCAATTAGGCTGCAGCAATTTAGCTGATTGCTGATCCTTGATCCACGTGGCTGGTAAAACTCCAGCTTTGATTATGCTTTTGTCACATTTGAATTCATAGCTGTTCTGTTGTGATTGTTTTGCTACCGGGTATCTGTGAAAAGATAAGTTATGAGTCTGTCTGAATGCTCATCATCCACAAAGACACCCGGTTTGTTCTCCTTTAAATCAAAATGTTGTCAAGTTAACGCATCGGATCAAATACCTGCTGGATAATTGGGTTGTATGTATCCTTTTAGTGTTTTGAGAAGCTTGAGCAGTTTTTTATTATTTTTTTTGGATGGCATGCAGTTTAATTAGACTGAGTTCTGTAAGGCAGATTTTTGTCGTTTCTTAGTTTTATTTTCATCTTTATTTATTTATTTTTGTATTTGAGCCCCTGATGTTGTTCCCATGTCAGTCTGACTGTGAAACCAACAAGCTTCAACTAAATTATCTACATAAAAACACAAGTAACTTTCTGGAAAATCTTTTATAGTTTGAAGGAAAATTCCTCCACAAGTAGTGAGCAAAGTTTGCTAGAATTAGATAAGCATTGGTACTCCAAAGTTGGTGCACCCTTCACAAATGTCAGTATTTGTGCCTAAATAACTTAAAACAAAAGGCATTGCTTAAAGGATACATACGCCCTGCCATCTTTCATCGAAGCGTTTTTGTCTAAGATCATCTTGTGTTGAGAAATGTCTGAATTGTCACATTTAGTCATGGCAGATATCTTGTAAAATCACAAGATGTCACATTCAAGTTATGTGTTGTAAATTAATCTCGGCTAATACTGTATCAAACTTTAGCTCATTGTTTGTAAATCTGGCTGAATTAATGCATTTTTTCTGTTTACGAAGGTGAGCTGGCCGTGGCAGCCATCTTAATTTGGGTTGGTTCCAAAAAAATCCATCACTTGCAGAGTTTCATCCAGTTATTTTCATGAAAGTTTAATTAAAATGTGTCCTTTTGCCTTTTGACGGTAGGTAATAACAAGATCATTAGATACTTAAGACATTCAATGGACAAAGAATACAAATTAAGCAACAAAGACAAAATAATTAGATTTGGTTTATTTATTTATGATAATTATCTAATATTTTATCTGTGCCCTAAAAAAAAGTGAACTATTTATTGCTATGACCTTCTTTGTTGAAGATGGTTGCACCACATTAGCCTGTTTGATTATAACAGCCTGAAGTTTCCAGCCTGAAGTTTCTTGTTTGTGAGTTTTGCTCAAAATCCCCTAAATTCATGTTATTCACTTGGGTCTGGGGTTACTTTAGGGCAGGGCTATTCAACTGGCGGCTCACGGGCCATTTCTGGCCCGCCAGTGACTTCTGTCTGGTCCACCTCATTAAAATAAATAAAAAATAAATAAAAAAAATTTATATATAAAAAAATTTATATTATATATATAAAAAATGATAAATAATATATATTCAATTATACTATAAATAAATAAATTATAATAAATAAAATAATTATATAT